AAAAAAAAAAAAGACACAAAAAACACTTGGATATTTTCTTCTGAATGTACTGAAGGTACTGCTACCCCATTTTGCACTGAAGCCCCTTTCAAAGCGGCTTTCTTCATTGGGCACTATACAGTAGACCACACCTGGTCCCCAGGCCTGCCCACCTCTGTCACTTTAGACACCCCATAGCATTGAGTGAGTCCTCTAGCTTCTCATAGGTCTGTTTCCTCTCTGATAGACCAGGAATTATGGTTATGTCATAGGTCACCATAAAGACAGGAGGGGTGATGATGTGTGGAACATAGCACCTGGCAGGCAGGCAGCACTCCATCATTTACTCTCCTGGGCTTTTTTCTCTTCCTTGCCTGGCCCCAGGACTGGACTCTTGGTCAGGTTGCAGCAGATGTCTTTGACTTACTGTGAAGATTCCTGGGACCCTCAGTCAGTGGCTAGGGGTGGGGGGATGGCCGGGATGGGCTATGGATGCTCACCTGCTAGTGAACCATCTGGCCTCTTCCCCCACCAGGTGCCCTCTCTAATCCTGAGCTCTTCAATTATGGGGCAGAAGCTTATGAAGCCTTCAAAAAGAGCTCTCTGACCAGCGACATTGTAGAGGAGCAGAAAAAGGTGCAAGAAGCTGATCTAGTGATATTTCAGGTTTGTTCCCCTCTAATAAATCAGGTTCACCTTACAAACTCTATATATTGTGCTTTCCACTCCTAGAAATGGTATCAAGGTGTTTTTTTCTTCTTTTTGGTATATGTGAATACTTATTTGCAACAACACCAGTTAGAACACTTACCTTGTAGCCATTATTCCACAAAACCCCTAGGAATGAAGGATTTTCCACACACTTCTTGACTGGCTGTTATCATAAGAACTACTGTCCCCAAACCACTGTCCACTTTTCACCTCCTTCCTGCTTGTCTGGAGACCAGCATCAGGGGTTCTCAGTGGGGGAACAGCAACCAGACTCCTGTCAGCTCCTCTCCATGCCACCACACTATGCCCCATCTACTCTGTGGCCACTTCAGAGGACAGTGGGATCATTCTGACTCACAAAATAGTAAAACATTAAAGCCCCAGACAAACCACAACATTTCTTTGTACTTGGTGTACCCACTGTACAGTTCCCGCTGTACTGGTTCAGTGTGCCTGCTATACTGAAGGGCTGGATGGACAGGGTGCTGTGCCAGGGATTTGCCTTCGACATCCCAGGATTCTATGATTCCGGTTTCCTCAAGGTATGTGCTCCAGGAATAAGGACTGCTAGAGACTGAGTGGGAGGGAAGGGTGTGCAGCGACCACAGTTATATTTCTAGTTTGCTTCTTTTTGAGTAAATATTGATTGAACACTTACTAGGTGTGCAGTATTCTCTGCTGTTTACAGATGAGAAAAAGCATTGTTCCTGAACTCTCGGAACTTTTTGTCTCATGGACTCAAACGCATCCATCCTAATCACACACATAGCAAAGGAGGGATGGAGCTGGGTGTTGTGGGGAGGTGATGCTGATATAGACAACATGGTATCAACCCTGACCCCATAGAAGGTTCGGCTGTGTCCAGCCTTGTCTTGCATGAGTTTACCTATCTGAGCTCTGCATAACTGCGTGGTGAATCAACAAGACAACAAAGCACCTAGGTTTCCAGGGAGGAATGCACAGGACCTGGTAGTGAGTGCACTTACTAAAAGAAATTTCCACAAAGATAAAGAGTTGGTCCATGCCTTCCTCCTGGTGGAATACAGTTATCACCTGTGGGGTGTAGGAGGGTTATATCCTCACACTCTGGAGGAGGCTGATCTTCAGTTCCTCCTGGCCATAAGAAACCTTTGTGCTTGTGTCCTAGCAGCACTGATGGTCTCTGGCAGCCATACAAACACATTTGATCTCTCCTCTGCAGGATAAACTAGCCCTTCTTTCCTTAACTACCGGAGGTACAGCCGAGATGTACACGAAAGCTGGGGTCAGTGGAGATTTTCGGTACTTCCTGTGGCCACTCCAGGTAAACAGACCATGAGCTACTGCAACCTCTCCCCTTCTCCAACTTCCCACGTAAAGTGAGATGTGATATAAACCTACCCCCTACACCATTCTGACTCCATCTGCATCAGGGAATGTTGATGCTTCCTCTCTTGATTTTTTTCCCTTGACAGTACTACAAAGGCTAGCTAATGAGAAAACACATAATTGTAGCCTTTGGTAGTATTTGGCCCAGATCTAAGCCAAATCTGGCTGGCCTTCTGCTTGCTTTGTGGGAAGGGAAATGGCTCTTCAGTGGTTCTATATGGTGTGTGTGTGTGTGAGAGGGTGAGGCCTAGTAGTGAAAGTGCAGAGCTGTGCACGCACATGCAGTGCTTGGTGAAGCCTGGACAAAAGGCACCAGGGCCCTATATTCTGAATGGCTTCATGCGGGCTTTGTGCCTCATACCCAGGATTCTAAGCTTCTCTCTTATCGTGTCTGCCATAGGCCCTCCCACTTCTTATCTCCCTGGTTGTCAGTGTGAACATGCAGAAGGGCTGAGGAATGACTATCTGCCTGAGGAAGGCAGTAGGTAGAGGGAGTTCAAGCTGGCAGGGCAGAGCTGGAGGCAGCGTTGTGGGAAGCAGGGCCCAGGGCATGGACTTCAAGGAGACCCAGAAACTTCAATGGGGCAGCAAAAAACTGCTCTTCTTGGAAGTTATAAGGTGTGTCTGGAAGAGGAGAATACATATTTAAGAGTTTATAGCTTCCGTCAAAAAAGTGTAGACATTGTAGGGGTCAGTTGTGCCTCAGTGGAAGGTTTGTGCTGAATTCCATCCCACCACACACACTAGGAATTGCCCCTTTCTTTGCATTCTAGGTTACATACCCAGCCCATGTTTCTGTGGGGGTCAAATTAGCTATACTGTCTTCAAAACTTGAAGGTCTCCCTTCTCCTTCCATTCCCTTCCCTTCTTCCCTCCTCTCTCCTCTCCTTCCCTCCCCTTCCCTCCAGGTTTTTTTTTCTCCCTTTTTTCCTTTTGTTGGTACCAGGGCTTGAACTTAGAGTCTGGGCACTGTTTCTTAGCTTTTTCACTCAAGGTGGCACTCTACCATTTGAGCCACAACTCTACTTCCAGCCATTTGGTGGTTAACTGGAGATAAAAGTGTCACACACTTTTCTGCCCAAGCTGGATCTGATCCCTGATCCTCAAATCTCAGCCTCTTGAGTTACTAGGATTACAGGTTTAAGTCACTAGTGCTTGGTGATAATTTTCTTTATACAGATAATACACATGTATTTTTCAGTTCATACCTTGTCTTTGTTGTTTTCAAGGAAATCTTATCATTTTCAATGTCTTCTAAAGTTCTTTTTCATTTCTGAAGGCTTTTGGTTTCTGAATTAATATTCTTTTCACGCAGACCGTTTACTGATTTCTTCTACCAAATATAATTGGCTTTTTAAAGCTAATTTCCAGTACTACAACTGTATCATACAAGGAAAAAGTAATGTAAAAATAGCATGTGGTCTTCTGCCTAATGGAGTAGGCCAGGATATGGTAATGCAGAAGAACAAGTGTAGTATTTCTGGGGAAAAATGGTCCCTTTTGAACTCTGATTCCAATTACTGATGCTTTGTTGAAGGAAATAATTATAAGCTGTGAGCTTTCTTCTCTACAGGCCAACTCTTTTATGGGTCATTAGCCAAGCCTACATTCCTGCTTGCCTTTAATTTTTTTTTTACCGTTTAGCCAGGTGCTGGTGGCTCACACCCATAATCCTAAGTACTCAGGAGACTGAGACTGACGGTCATGATTCAACCCAAAAGAGCCAGAAGTAGAGCTGTGTCTCAGTTGGTAGAATGCTAACCTTGAGCAAAAAAGCTCAGGGACAGCACCCAGGTCCTGAGTTCAAGTCTCAGGACTGGTACAAAAAAGAAAAGAAAATTACCTTTTAGTTTGCAAAAATATGTATTAAAAGCCAGGTATCAGTGGTTCCTATAATCCTATCTACTCAGGAGGCTGAGATCTGAGAATTGTGGCTTAAAGCCAGCCCAGGAAGGAAAGTCCATGAGACTCTTACCTCCAATTAACCACCAAAAAGCTAGAAATGGAGCTGTAGAAGCAGTAGAACACTAGATTTGATCAAAAAGCTCAGGGGCAACACCCAGGCCCTAAGTTTAAGCCCCAGGACTGGCCAAAAAAGAAAAGAAAGATACACAAATATATATATATATATA